CAGAATTCTTTTGTGAATATATATTATTTCATTTTAAGCAATATTTATCAAATAACACGTCATTATTTAGCAAGTTTAACTGCAGAAAGGGTTAATTTAATCAGTTATATTTATCACACCTCTCTCAAAGTGTAGCATGTGTAGTCTTCTTGGACAACACCTGTAGATGTCTATTATTTGTACTGGGTTACCCCTGGCCCTTTTTTACAGTGGTCGTATAAAAATAAGCAAAGAGAAGCCCCCTTAATGTAAATAATGGTAACTACTGACATATATGAATTTCAGGCTGTGTGCATGCAGAAGAAATGGTAACATCTCAGTCAGATATGACTGATGAGCAGAATCTCTTTAAAGATCCTGTTTTGCTGTCCTGTGCAACAGTAAATAGCTCTTTCTGAAGTCTATGATGAGAAGTTTATGAAAGAACTGAATCTAGGTTTAGTATCTAGGTTTCACGCATTTCTGTAGGTACAGAACATTTTCTGTAGTCCTGAACATTTCATAGTGCTTGGGTTCTTTGTTATTATAGTTAGATGAAGAGCCAAGGTTTGAGTGAGAGAGATGTTGCCAGTCCTGCACCCATGACACTATAAAATATTAAAATGGGATTGGGATTGCATTTTCTGAATAGCAACAAAATTGTCAAATTCTCCAAAAAGGAAACTGAAAAAATGGGTTGTTACTTGCACCATGCACTTACACAATCTACAAATTGTTATTTTGAATTGTAGAAGATCTCCTGTACAAAATATAGCCAGGCTCTGCATCAACTTTGCCAGAAGAAAATGGCATAGTTAGTTAGAGCTAATGGAAAGTTAAGGAGGCAACACAGCTTCCAACTGAAGGGTACCTGAAACTGAAATGAGCCTACACAGAAATTCAGACCAAGGAAAGTATATATATATATATCCTCTCTAATTTACTTTCACTTTGTGCTCAAAGTATGCAATTGCTTTGCTGTCTTTTTAGAGTATTGTTGATAGAGCAATTAAATTTTTCCTTAATATGTCTAAATAGAACATTCAAATGAGAACAACAAATTATAGTTTCCCTTCCTATTTTTATGTCATGGATATAAGACTTACCCTCTGACAGTAGTTTTCATATTCTGCACCTGACAGATAGTGATAGTACTGGTACCAGGCTCAAACTGGCATGTATTCATGGGAACATTTTTGGCTAGACTACACGTGTGCTATACACTAGGTTGTAGTGAGACACCACATTGCACTGTAAACGTAGACAGAGCCATGCTCTCCATTCTGGAGCAAATCCTGGCTTTCTAATCACGACCGATACATGCAGCTTATATAAAATACCTGTTCAGCAAAGTGCATACATGCTATTCACAACTTGCAGGACTTGTGGTAAATCTTGCTTATCCTTCCACTCATAGGCCTGAATTCCAGTGCTTCTTCTCAAGGGCCAGGGTTCCCAGAGAATATTTAATCCTCATCTTTGCAAAATCATTGAGAAACCCAGCCCTTTACAACAGTAGATTGAAAAGCAAGCAGGGAATTTAGCAAAAAAAACAGCCAACAAATTAAGAGATGAGTGAAATAAGCTACAAAGTAAAATTTAAAATAGTCTTCTCAAAAATACTTTTTAAAATAAAAAATGTGTTAAGAAAGGATAACATGGTATTGATGTATATGACATTTGAGACCAAATTCCCGAAGACAGGCATATTGACATGCTCGTATATTGCAGTCTTCTCACAATTCCTTTTTTGCATCTTCCCTTCATGTTAGTAAGTGCAGGAGAGTATGGTGGCATGCAACATCCAGTTCTGGAGAGTAACTGTGAACATCTCAGCCCTGCAAACAGAACAAGCCAAGATGTTACTTTCAATGCATCCTGTTAGTTGTCTTTGTTTACTTGTCTTTCTTCGTATTGTCAAAAAGTGAGGAAGGGCATGGGAGAGATGAAGAGCGAGAAATAAGTTATACACCTGCATTTTTATCAGTGATGTGAACAAAGTTTAGAAAAACATAATTAGAGAAAATACTTGCATGACATGGTCAGAACATTCTTCCTGTTTGTTTCCTCAACATATCAACCACTGCAGTGTTTAGGCAATAATACTTTGTAAATAGTGGAATTTCTCACTCTTATCTGCCAAGTTAGAGCAACTTCTGCAAGTTTGATTCAAATTCAGCCTATTAACAAAAAGTTTAGTGTGAAGAGTTGTTATTCACTTCAAAATATAGTTAATAAACAAAGAATGTGGTAAATGATGCATATTATTCTCTATTTGATAACATCTCATTAGATAAATTGTTTTAAAAGAACCTCAGATGATAGTGTTGTGTTTTCAAAAGGCAAGAAAACAAATTTTGCAGAAAATCCAGATGTTAATTTAGCTGTTGTTCATATGTGCATCTGTAATGTTTATACAGCAAGAAGACATCAAAGAATTTTAAAAGTTAGCTCATTAGTTACAATTATTCGGCTGCAGATCTGAAAAAAATATGAAATTCTTTTTAACAAGAAAATATGTAAAATTGATTTTCAGCTTCCATTTTGTTTGTGGGCTGATGTTTCTGAATCTGCTGCACAGAGTCAGTGATCCCATTACAAAACTGGAAGCAGAGTAAAGAGGATTTTGTTGAACATGTTCCTGCTGTTGACATTGTTGACTAGAAACATAAGTCACAAGATACAACCATAAATTGAGTTGTCATTATTAGCTCTGGGCACAGGCTAGACAGCTAGCAATAGGTAAATCGTAAAAAGATTTATAGATTCTATTTGATTCAGCTAAGCATCCAAAAACATTCAGGGAAGATACTGGGATGGGCTCATGAAAACAGGCCAATGTATTTTATCTGATGTGCAGAGGCCAGAGTGTGTGCCTGCAGAGACTGACGGAGGTTTCCAGGGCATCTAAGAACAACCAAAGGTTGATCAAAGCTGTTGTTTTCACTATGGATGATTCCAACACGCTTGACCAAAGTATATCCATGGTGCAAAGGTTATGAAAATATAGTGTCATTATATACAGTTTGCACAGGGCTAATCTGATAACTGCACAGTTAATTATTTCAGAGGATGCCCGTAGGCAAAACTTGAAAGCAACAAATTGGGGCTGTGTCTATTGACTAAACATGTGTCAGGAAGAAAAATGCAAGTCACAGCTGCAAACAACATTTCAGTCTGTCCTTACTCCAAAAAAAAAAAAAGATCAGGACAGAATATGTGCTTGAGAAGTGCATTGGTTGGGTTTCTGTTTTCTGTTTTTTTTCCTTTTAATGGTCTAATTCTGAAAGACAGTACAAATTCTTCACTACCACTGAAGGGTACAGAAGTTACATTTGTACATCTAGAGAAATTAGACCTTTAATATTTTGTCAAATTCTCCATGTACTGATGTAAAATATTTTTGTTTTGAAGATGTTAGTACATGCTAGAGGCACATTTCACATACCTTGCAAGGATCTCATAATCCAAAAATATGCATAGTCAAACTCAGTTTTACTATATAATGGAAACAGCACATTGCAAAATTTGATAATTCAGGATATCCAACTAACTTTCATAAGAAATGAAGCTAAAAGCCAGTTTGCAGACTTTCAAGAAGTTTCATTAGGACTCAGTATAGTTGCATTTAATTTCAGATTGCTGCTGGTAAAGTGTTCTTTCCATTTTCAAAGGCTTAAATAGCAAGCCGTGTACAAATTTACTTTGTAACTTTTTCTTTCTTATATATTTTTTTCCCAAATTTTTCACTGTGTTCTTGCTAGCTTTTTGATCATGGAACAGAGAGAATTTCAGTAAGAAAAGCAATTTTGAAATTCATAGGCAATTTTTTCTCCTTTCCACATATAGGTTTATTATAGCAAAGCTACATTTAATACAGACCTATGGATGTAGGAAAGTTTTCTAGGTGTTTTGTTATATTTTTAATTTGGCTTCGTGGTATTTATAGAAGAATTTACTGCAAGAGTGAAAGGATATGACTCGACATTTAGGATATAGGGTACTTTGGGTAATTTGCACACATTAACATACTTAAAAGCAAAAGGCCAAAATGTTCAAACTTAGTTACCTAAAATTAGTCACTTAAAATGCTATCATACCATTTATAAGCAGTCTATTTTTAAAATCTGTGAATTTCCCTAACCTCCACTGGATATTTAGAATGTATTAATGAATTAGCTTTGATGCTGTTTAACTGAATAGCCTATTTATATTATATGCATAAGAAAAATTTAGTCTGGCCTGCATTTTACATTGCATATGTTCTTAATCAGTTTAATTAGTCTGGACACTGTTACCCAAAAGCAAACTCTAAAGTGGCTAATTGCTCTGTCTGCATGTATTCTGAATACTTGCATAAATCTTACTTATTTTACAACACTAAATCTGAAGACACTTAATTATAAATCTTGCAGAATATATTCCATTCACTGATAGACTACTAAAGAGTCAATACATCGCCTGGGAACTGTAAGCACCAGCTTCACCCCTGGAATAGGCTCAGTGAAATAATTAATGATATTTGGATATATACACACACACACATTCTTGTTCTCTGCTTATCAGATAGTCTAAGTTCAGTGGAGTTATTCTTGATTTACTTCCATGTGACACCAGGCTTCATAGTTATGTGACATGAAAATGTTATTTGCATTAGTCTGAATATAAATATTAGTCTAAGACAATGCACAAAAATTAATCTCTCGGAGCCTGCAGGGTCTTGAGTTCCTTGGACTGTCTTCACAGGGGAGTAGAAGGAAACTCTCCTCTCATACTGGGTGCATTGTCTCTTGCAGCATCAGGTTTTCTTTGCCGTATTTTAAGACACCGCATGCTTCAGGAGCTCTTTTTTAAGCTGTATGAAAGTGATGTATATATATGGTCTATCCAAGCAGCTCACATGATACGTTTTTTTAAAGCTATTGTTTTGCTCTATACCTCACCATAGAAGTAAATTACAGCTACTTTTTTTTTATACATACACTGCTCTTAAATATAAATAGCTCTCTTCATTTTTATAGGAAAAATGGAGTTTAGAACTGACTCTCGACAGTAGATGCACATTTGGCAGGAGGCCAAGGAGAATCAGAATAAACAACCATAAGAAAATGCCAAATACAAGAAAATAACAGCAACTTAATATGATTTAATACCAATAAAGTGGTTAAGGTTAGTGGAAACAATCCTTGATCTTTTCTTCTTCTAATAAATTAAAAATGATTTTATAATACATTATAGCTAGGGTAGCTTCCTCCAACTAGGGCTATCCATCACAGTGTAGATAGAAACACTAGTTTTTCTCCACAATATGGCAGCCAACCTCTTGAGCAAGACTAGTGGCAGAAGACAGAGAAATAAAGCTCTATGCTCTCCACTGGCGCTGGTTCAAGGTCGCATCCCTGCATTTTTAATATGATTTCCGTTGTGTTCTTTTATTTCTTTCATCCTCACAATGGATACACAATGATTGCTTCATCCCAGGATTTCTCTTGAGATTCATTGGAGGAAACCATATTTTTCCAGACCTATGAAAAAGTGAATTGTCTGACCGAGAACTGCAGATGGTCAGACTGGGTCTAAAAGGGGAGTCAGTTGTATGTAGCACTTTTATGAACCTCTTAGGTCCTTCCACGGCAGTGAGGACACAGGGGGAAAAAGAAACAGTGATAACCAGATCTTTTTCAAATGTGAGTCTATCATATGATTGGACCTGCAAAGTGTTTTTAGACTATACATTGGCTTTACAAACAGCCATACCTTTAGATGCGTAGGAGGATCCACAGCCCTGAGCCATGCAAGAGTCTTTTGGTGCAATGTATGGAGAGACTGGGAGCCAAAGAAAGCCAGAGCCCTGCTCTGCCATCAACTCTTCCCATCTCTCCTTAATGCAAAATGCAGCAGTTCAGATGCAAAGGACTGAGAGGATCTCCCACCCTGGGGTACTCTTATGGTTTAGGCCTGCCCTTGAGAGTAGCTATGGATAAAATTCAGCAAAGTGAAGGTGAGATGTAAGCATATACTCTTTGTATATTCTTTATGAGTATCAAAGCAAACATGTCAAATAAAAGGTGGCAAGAATCAGTGACTTCACCACTGATTTTTTGTCCAATCTGACAAGTGTTTTATAGAAATTTTTGTGAGATGGGCAAAGATGAGAAAGCCCAAAGATGAGGCAGTAAATGTGAAGGACTAGACTTTATATTGACAAGGGCATGGTTAACTATCTGTACAGTTTGGTGCAAGATACTAAAGTTTAGACTATGCCCCTACTTAGGCATTATGATAAACCTAGTACCTAATGACTTTCTCAGTTACTTACTTCCAAAGTAATGATGTCAGTGCTGCTATAATATCAAGACTATGGAAAACATTCTACTATAATTTACTGTTTCTTCAAATGGAGAATAAAAGTTGAAGAGTTATTTATATTGAGTTAACAAAATTAACAAAATGATCCCAGAAAGATACTTAAGCTTCCATTTAGCTCGTCTGATGTTTAAAATCAGGTGGCAAGCATTTATGTTCACACAGCTGCTGCTTGATCTTATCCTCATCATCATCATCATCATCATCATCATCATCAATCATCATCATCATCATCATCATCATCATCATCATCATCATCATCATCATCATTTCACATGAACATAATTACTTTTTATGTAATGTATAAATTTAAATACAATCTGAAATGGCATTTTAATGTCTGAGAAGCAAATACTTACTTTCCATAGCCTGGGTTAAATGATCTTGGCAATTAAGTACACACTGCATGAAGATGGAAACTATTGTTTTACAGTAGGCAGGTGTTAAAAAATGAAAAACCAAAGACAATCATTGTTAGTTCTCTGCAGAACACAGAATAAATAGAACTTTAGTGGAAAAAGCTATGAGGTTAGGCTGGTCTCATGACATGTGCAGACATCAAATTTCATCCATTTCATGTTTACAAATGGAAATCATGCAAAACTTATGACTCTGGCATTAACATAAACTCCAAAGTTTGGGGTCTGTTCTGTTCTCAAGATTTTTCATTGACAGTCTAAAAATCACGAAATTATGAATTGTGTATCAGAAACCTGTGGAAATCAAGAGACGTTATGTGGGTGAGCCCTTCTAAAAATCAATATATGTTGCATATTTGGAACAATATAGTGTGTGGAAAAAGGAAAGCATTGCAGATTGAATTTGCACAGGCAGAGGTTTACAACCACAGGATAATGGAACCAACCACTGGTTTTAACATGATAATTAAAAGGTAGCTTTCTGTAACATACTTAACTGTAACTTCCAGTCACTCACGGGCTTCTTTTCTTTTTAAAAAGCATTGTCATTTGTAGAATACTGGCGCTACTTGAAGGTTGCAGGCACCTTACTCTGCTTAGAGCAATGCAGCCTTTCTGTATTCCTGCGCTGTTAAGAACCACAAACAACAGATTTTGCAATAGGACAATCTATGGAGCAGAAATGCCTTTAACAGACTGAGACCTGATGCTGAAACAAATCCCACATCAGCCTCCTGTTCTCTGCTATTCACTGGAGCTGACCAAAGCTGCTGAAAAGAATTCACCCAGGTTTGTGCTGGGCATTCAGTTTTCTTTCCCTGCTGAAGCTTTATAGCTCCAGGTGCTTAGGACTGAATAAAACTGCATCAAAGATATATCAGATGGAAGAACATTTTCTGGTGAAACCAGTTCCTACTGGTAAGGAAAGGGAGATCTTTGATTCCAAATCTTAAAAGGAGTTTTTTTTTTTTTTAAAAAAAATAGTAGATTATGGGACAATCAGTGTTATTAGGGAAATGAAATGATGGAATATTGAGAGAGAACAAATATTCATTTCAGTTTTGTTATCTGGATTAGTGAAAGGTTCATTTTGCTTCATCTCTTTATGTCTGATGGACAGGTATGATGTAAAGTGTCATGCAGCTGGGAAACGCCAGCCCCTGTACTAGGAAGGCAGAATATGCTCGGTGCAGTTCCCAAAAGAGTCTGTTTTTACAAGCCATAACGGAGTGAACCTCAGACACTGTCAGAAATACCATAAAGAAGGTACCACAGCAGCTGAAGCAGCCCCATTCTGGGAAGCCACTTCCCAAGCAAAGCAGCCAAACAAGGCGCTGAGGCCAGTGCTTGGCCAGCTCTTCTTCCCGGCCACTGGCTATCTGCTGCGAAACAGGTCCTAAGAAAACTCAAATCCATGTACTTGATCTGCGCTGAAAATTGTATGATGTTCTACCATCACTGTGAAAGAGGCCATTAGTTCTACAAAAGCTATTCTATCATCTCACTGATACATTTCCCATTGCTGAAATATATTTGAATTAATTTCTGAATAAAAAATTAACTGGAGATTTTAATGGATGGTGTCAGGACCAAAGTTTAGCATTCTGATTTCTGTTCTTTTTTCCTTTTAAAAAAGCATGAATGAAAATGTAGTTCACTTTCACTCTTTTCTGTGTACCTTTTTTAAAGACCTATATGAATGACTATCTACGAATATGTTCATATAGTAATAAGCACCATCAGGTAACATTTTCCATGTCTTAAAATATTTTTTGTTTGTTTGTTCTCCTTACTATATGAAGCGGAAATAAGAGAAAAGATAACACCTCAACCATGGATCATTTGTTTGAACTGTGTGGAAAGTAACAGTTTACTGTTTTACTTCGTGGTATTTATCTTATAACAAAGAGTTAAAGCTAACTGTTTTGTTTTGTTTTGTTTTGCAGATGAAATGCCCTCACCATATTCCCCAAAAGCATTTAAGATGGATTACTGAGAAATACATCTGCAGTTTTGAATGCTTTGGAAATGAAAGATGATAACAACAGAAAGAAAACTTGGCCTTATTTATCTACACCATGGAATATTTTTAAGGCAGTAGCTGTTAATATATCTATCTAGTGACAGCTGAACTTCACTGAGATGTGAAGTTCACACTGCTTTTGGGGCAAGGACAGTTCTGCATTTGTACAGCACTTGGCATAAAAAGTTCTTGACAGGGGGCACTACCAGAACATAAAATAAATAGCAAAAATATGACTTTCGATTTATTTCCATCACTGTTCTTTTTTTTTAAGGATGCATCAATTATGACCAGCTTTTGAGCAAATCCAACAAGGCATGTTTAGCATATGCACTGTTTCCAGTGCATGCAAAAAGTTAAGGTAGGTGTGTATTCATGCTGGAATACAGGGCTTGAGTCTTGTAGTCAGAGCTGTGTGGACAGAGCCTGTTAGAGACTGCTAATTTCAGCTCGCATTCAGCCACACATGTTAACATATGTGGCTCTGAGTACCTGACTGCTGTCTGCAAATTGCAGTACATCACATGAACTTACGTGGAGCAAAGCCAAATGGAAATGAGACGGGTTCTTAACAGCCACGAATAGCACATACAGTCGCAAAACCAAAATCTTTATTTATTTGCCTATTTTTAGATGTGGTCTCATGGTAACTATTGCTTGGGTCCTTTCATTTTTTGCCTATTGCGCTGTGGATTAAAAATACCACTCTTCTAAATTCTTCCTTGTTTACTTACTTACTTTACTTTACTTGCCCATTGTAATTCCGAGTAGAAATCAACAGGGAAAACCTTTGAAACTGATTAAATCAATACCTTAAGCATGTTTTTTTCCTGTTTTATAATATCTATAATCTTTCTACAAAATGCAGCAATATATATTTCATTGCTTAAAGGTTTCTTATAGAATTACCTATCTTTTCCTTTTCTATGGAATTACTGTTTTGTCAAATTATCTTACTTTATTTTCCTTCTTATAACAATAGCAGTATAGCTACATTTTAAAGAAAAGGCAAAATACAATAGAAAAAAAAATTCTAATCAGTGTCAACACAATTGTAGTTTTTATTTCTGCTTCAGCTTAATTTTATAGTAACAGCCTTCAGCTTTTTAGAAATTCTGTAGATCCTTTACAGATAAAACATTTGTCACTTGCTGAGACAAAGCTTATAAAACTGTGCTGTGAGATTAGCATTGGGTGTGTGTATATGTATGTGTAATGGAGCCTTTAGTCATCTTAGATGCTGACAGCTATTCAGAATGCTTTTTCCACCAGTACAGCTTAACTTGCAATATAAGTAATGTATATGCCTTTCTCTAATAAAATATGCCCTTTTCTAATAAAATGAACAGCTAATATTGCTAAAACACATATCTCTCTGTCTGGACTCCTAATTAAAATCTTTAAATTCCCAGATTTTTTTAGCACATTTCTATGCATATCAGAAAGTTCAACTTTTGGTGAAAAGGTTCCTCTTTTGATCTTGATCTATTTTAATCTAGATATTATGGTGATGGGCACAGTCTAAAAACAACACTATGGTACATAATTTTAAATAAAGTGTATTTGAACTTCCAAGACCACACAATATATGACCTAAACATGTTCACTGTTGCTTTTAATATAGATTGCTTTGAGGGCTCTAAATTTACTTCTGTGTATCTTAACTTTTTTGGAAAAAGCAGTGCTCAAATCTGCAGGATGGCAATGGTGGAATATGATGTTCTCTCCTCCTACTAACACAAAATAAATGGTAGACCCTTCCCATGAGGGGCAGGTCAAGTAAATGCAGTCGATATGATTAGTCATGGCTATAAACAGTGGTTGTGGCTAAGAGCGCGGGAGGAGGCAATCGTTTGATATGAGCTCTGTTGCTCTGCAGGCTCAGACTTTGTTTGATTTCTTCACAGCCAGGACAGAGCTCAACTCTGTCAATATTCAGTATTCATGTCAGAGAGGAGTGAAACTGCATGGACTTTCCCTGGATATCAAGCACAGAGCTCTCTGTAGTCTAGCTTGGTTACCCTTAAATTAATGAATGCTCATTTCATGGGCAGAGTGACACTGAGCACGGTGCATCTATATTGCAGTCCACCTATATTTCCCTGCAGGAAAATGTCAAGGATGTCAGATAAACTGCAGGTCACAGTGAGGAAAAGAGGAAAATCTGCCCATGGACCACCATTCTACTTCCCATTAACTCCAAATCTTTTCCCTGACCTCTAAATGCTCTAGTAATACCAACACAGTGCTGAGCAAGGAATAAACTGTGCTGGCAAAGGGGCTGCTGAATCTTCCTGCCACTTTAGAAGAAAGAAAAGCAAGGACTGAACTGTGACTCTAATATATACTGCCTCTCTAGAGTATCTTTCATAGGAGCTCATTTAACCCTACTTAGGAATAATTCATGGGATAAGTGAATCTGGCCCTGGATTTATAATGGATATTGAGTTACAGAAAGAAAAAAGGCAAAAAGCGTAAAATTTGGACCTTAAGTGTTGTGTACAGTGAGAGAGTATTTGAAGGCAAAATATGTCCTGGTGTATTTAACAGAAGGCCATAAGAAAAACATGCTCGGGTACATAACATTGATCACTGACATTAGTAGTGAGGATGGAGGGAATGCCAGCAATATTAAGTAAAGTGTAATCCTTTTAGTGATAGAACTTATTTCCTTTTCATGCTGTTCCACAATATGAGACAGCCCAAAAGCACTCATTTTTTTTATTTCCCTTTTCACTGTTGTTTTCATCTCTGTGCCAGTGGATCAAAGAGTTAATAAAATTTCACCACTATGAAAGGTAATTTCAAAACTAAATGCAGCAATTCAAATAGAATGAATGCCAAGGAGATACTTAATGAAGTAACATTCTAGATGTATTCTTTGAAGAACATTTGCAGAATTGTTTGATTGCTTTAGAGCATGCAGGAAACAGTAAACCCAACACAGTGCTAACATTGTCTCTCACAGTTACATTCTACTCAAATATCACCAAACCACTTAGAATTACAAATATATTTGATACAGAATTACCTAATATCATGGAAATATTCCTGTGTATTTTGCATAGTAAAATGTTTGGAAAAACAGCACTTCCTTTGGCCTAGATATTAAAAATGTAAAACTTGCATTTGCTCATTCATATTAAAACAATTGCAAGCTTCACCACTGTTCAGGTTTGTGACCAAGTTGTGTTTAAACAGCATAGGACTGCAATTTAACCACCCTTCACTGCACTTAGATCTTGACATTTTTGTCTTATGACAGCAACTATAGAACCGTATACTTGGAAACTGTCAATATTACATGTATTGATTTTATTCAAAAGCAGCAAGCTGATGTACTGGCTTAGCATTTCAATGTGTAGCTTCCAGAGTCTACCTCTCAAGGACGGTGCTCATTTACGCTTCTAAGTCTCAGCATGTGAAATGCAGCATTCAGTGTTTGACCCGATTATTGTTTTGAGAGCAAAACATTGCGGACACCCAACCACCCTGGAAATCAGTGTGCAGCTGGAAGAAGCATGGTTTCATGTCAGTCTTGTTACTGTCAGTGGGTACCAATCCAATCAGACATCCTAAATAGTAATGGAAGAAAGAAAAAGTAGATTCTTTCTTATTGAAAATAGCCAAATAAAGACAGAAGAGAAAAACAGATGAAACTTTCATGCTCCTTTAGCATCATTAGCTAATATCTCCTTCCCCTGAGCAGCTAATCAACACTCACCTGTGTGTTATACCTCACTACTGTTGTGCTTAGAGACTATTTTCTAGTTACCCTTCATGTCCTTTAAGGTACTTGTGTTTTGCTTTGTGACTTACAGACATGAAAACAACTTCCTTCATGTCCCAGGATCCATCTGGCCTTTCATCCTGTCTCCAACCAAGGTCAATGGTAGGTATTTAGGGAAGCATAAGAATAGGGCAAGTGTGTATTAATATTTTGCCAGTCTCTAATGACTCATAGCTGAGGAACTTCTTGAGCAAGAGGTTGTGTCTTTGTATGTAATAGCCCTAAGTGGATTCTTCTTTCATGCCTGCATGCATGAGATAAGCCAGCTGAAGCTCTCACTGGCATGTGAAGAACATTTGAGTTAGTGAGCACTCTCAAAAATGTTTGGGTTTGATGAACCAGCATTTTCCAGGTCTCCTCTCTCTTCTCCCCAAACCCTGAAGGAAAAAGGAAACGTTGAAAATTTTACACCATTTATCATTGTAGCTGCAACTACACTTGTATTTTTTTTTTAGCTGCAGCTGAGGCAGTAGTGCAGCACAATAGCTATCAGCTGTTTTGCAGTGCAAATAAGGGCACCTCATCAACACTTGGGATTTTGTAAATGGCCACGGAAGCAAGCACACTTCTGCTCAGAGCAGGGCTACCTTAAATAGGTTTAAAGTAGTCAGTTCAGGGTTTGGCACCAAGCTCTCAAGATAGATGAATTCATTCTCCAGCCAAAATTGAGCTTTGTGATCCTGCAAGAAGACATCAGCAGTAGGGCAGTACTGCAGAGCTGCGATAAAGATATGGTTGGAGAATCAGATCCAACTGGAGTCTTTGGCCTTAGCACAGCGCTTGCATAAGGGGACTTTACAGATGGCTACAAACATTTTCTAGGCCAAAGACTTCCCTATAGTAACAGGTAAGGTGAAAAAAGAAATCAACATTGTCCTGTGGCTGTTTTTATATGCACACCAGTAATAAGCAAACAAATCTTCATTAATCCAAGTCATATTTTGCATGTAAATAAGAGCTTCCTCTTTATTATTCATTGCTGCAGATTGGACTACTTACCTGGCCTTATGAGCTTCACATACATTTTTTTTTTCAAGTGTCTAGAAGTTGCTTAAACACATACCATGCTTTGGAAGGCAAAAGGAAGGAAATCTCAGGAACAGGTGTCAGGCGGAAGTTGAGGAGTACTGTATACCACCATGCAGGTGCACTCTTGCATTCATTGTTTTAGGCAAAATAGGTACTGACCTAGTGCTGCATTTTATTATCCAACATCTATGTGTGGGCTTGTGCA